CCCTCCCTCCCTCAGAGCTCACCACAGAGAAAGGCCTGCGCCAGCAGCCCTCAGTGCTGTGCAGAGACCTGTCACAGGGGGCGCAGGGCATTATGGGAGCTCAACCAGGCGGGGACCCCCTGGTCCCAGGGCCACGGGCAGTGTCGCTCACCCAATGCTCATGACTGGACTGAGCTGTTTCACTGTTTGCTGGGGTGTGGGGGTGCATAAGGCCATCTGCACGGACCTCTGGACACAGTACGACGGGCTGCTCTGTGACAGGCGTCTGCCCCGCGCTGGGAACTGAGCTGGACACATCCCCAGCCCACACACGGACTCTGCGGAGCCAGCACGCCTGCGCCCGTCTCCACACTGGGGGACAGGCGTAGAGTTTTGAGCTTCTTGCGGAGAAGCGGGCGCAGGCCCTGGCTGCCACCCACCCTCCCAGGGGCCCGGTCTCCCCGCAGGGAACAACCCTGGGGCCAGACGGCCACACCTGCCTCCATCAGGGGTGCAGCTCTTACCTGATCTTCCACCTCTTGAAAGCTGTCGGCGTCCGTGCCGTTTGCCTCGAACTTCCCAGATGTGCCACTGAGCGAGGAGCTGCTGTCGCTCACGCTGCCCTCGGGGGTGCCTGCCACGCTGCCACTGGCTGGCCGGGAGGACACAAAGAGGCTGATGTTATCAAAATCCTCCTCGCGCAGCCTGCTGTCGCCACCTGCCTTCTGCGCTCTGGCTGGATTGTAGGGTCTGAGGAAGGAGGAGTACACGTAGCCCTTTGCAGCTGGACAGACAGGAGAGAGACAAGAGCCACATTGTGTGCGGGCCCCCTGCCCCGACATGCGCACCAGGTGCGACGTGAGAGGGCTCCCGCAGCGCCTCTTACACCCGCACTCACCCCCTGTGTCCACCAGCCACCTGCTGGTGCTCCCCAGGGGGTCCTTCTGTTCCATCACGGCCACCAGCTCCCCTTCCAGCAGGTCGATGTCCAGCTCCTGGGTGGCGTTGCACTTGCGCTTGGCCTGGTAGAGCCCCTGTGCGCCGCAGGTGGAGAGGAGCTTGGCGCGGTGGGCATCGGTCTGGCGCGGTGCCTCTGGCTGGTGGGGGGGGGGAGTTCAACTGGCAGTAGGGGCAGGGTTCTGTTGCCCTCGGGGCACAGGGAGCACTGGATAAACAGCATTTAGTTCAGTAATCTGCATCCGTGCTTGTGGCTTCCTGGGGACTGGTACAGTAGGCCAGGCAGAAGCGGCCTGGCCCAACCCAGCTCTGCCAGTCAGTGACTGGAGAAAGCCCCTTCGCCTCTGGAGCCTGGGGCTCCTCATCCAGAAAAATCAAAGGTGCTGGGCAATACAATTTTGCTCCATGAAATCTGACTCGTTCACTCTGCAGATACCGCATGCTGCCTGGTACCAGGCCCTGCTTGAGGCGTTTGGAGTTTTTATAAAGACAGATATGAATCTGTGGCCTTCCCAGGCTCACAGACATGAGGGCATGAGAATGGGAAGAGTGATGCAGAAAAGAACACGCTATCGAGGAGTGACGTCATCCCAGTCACCAATGCACCAAACTCACCAGAATTTGCACAGGCTTCTTCTTTTCAAAACTGAGCTTCCTCTCGATGAAGGTGGCGCTGTTGTCCTTTACGAAGCTCAGGTTCTGAACCTCCTCTAGCACTCGATTCTGAATTTCAGAGATGCTGGAGGCCGACAGGGGAGCCTGCAGGGAGAAAGGAGCTGGCTTCGTCCCAGCCCTAGCAGGTGTGGCGTTTACTGCAGCTGTGCTGGGCAGCTGGGAACAGGGGAGTTCGCTCCACAGCCAAAAGTTAGTAGCCCTTGAACCTCTAGATAAAGCTCGTCTAGTTGCTCTCTCCAGAGATCCCATAAAAAATGACAAGCCCAGTCTTCCTAGCTATGCAAGCCAAAGTAAAAGGAGTACACATAAAAGAAAAAAACAGCAAGGTTTAAAAAAAAAGAAGCAGCAGCTATTTAAGGTACCTCCAGTACGGGGGTGGCAGAGAGGGGAGGAGAAAGACGCTTTAGCAAGTTTCACTGGCTCTAAAACAAATCAGCAAGCTCTTTGCTATGCTTTCCATCAGAGGCGGAGTCCACAGCCCTCCCTCCCAGCTGGGGGCTCTTCCGCGCGGCCTCCGTGAACAGAGCACAGAGCGCTGAGATGAACAGACGGTGCCAGGACACTGCCGAACTCTGAAGTTAGACTAGGCCTGGCCACGCTGGCTCTGAGGCTTCCTCCAGGGACCAGACTCCAGAGCCCTGCTGCCCCCTGGCCACCACAGCCACCTGGCATGGCGAGACAGAGAGGGGGGCTGTCTCCACAGGCCTCCCAGCATCACACCACCACCACCCTGCAGTGTGCGCCCCGCTGTTATATCACTGCAACCCCAGGGGAGACCTGGAGTCCCGTGGACACCAGGACCGTGGGTGAGTCAGTGGTGACTGCCATGCCGGTGTGGCCTGGAGGACTCCACAGAGAGGCTGCTCTCAAAGAAACTGGCTCCCCAGACTGCTTCTCACGCCAGTGAGACCGGGTGACTACCTCTGGCGCCTGGCGGAAGCTGCTTTCTCTGCAAATGGTGGGATGGAGAGTGCCTGGACGGGGCCCTCGACACCAGGGTGAAGCTGAAGGAACCGAGGGCGACGTCAGGCACAAGTTTAGCTAACATATATACTCACGGACATATACATGTACTCTTCCCTCTAGGGCATTAATCACCTCTCAAAACCAAAGCACCTTTCATTCCTGGCTTGGGCTGCCATGGAAGATACAGAGGCAACACAGAGCCGAAGCTGGAGGCACCTTAGACACCCTGTGATTGGAAGTAGGGGTGCAGCTACCTAAAGTAGATTTATTTTAATAGCCCGTTTCTGTGAACCTAAGAACCTGCTTCCACCTGGGCCATATGGGAAACACGGTTTCTCTCCATGGGTCTCGGGAAGAAACTGCAAGTTAAATGAGTTTCAGAGAAAACAACAAAAAGTAGCTTCAGTAGTAGTGGGGCATATTGATTGCTTTCCACAAAAAGTGCCCAACGGCCATTCTGAAGAGGATGAACTCGTGCCTGTGCGTCAGATCACTGCGGTTGGCAGTTGCGCTTGGCATCAGTGACGAACGCCAGCGGATGTCAGAGGTGGAGCCCACCGCTTGGCACGGGAGGCAATCTGGCCATAGCAGCAGGGTTCCAGATGTAACTGCCCTGTGCCCCAAAGCTTCCTCTTCTAAAAATCGCTGTGAAAGGCGTGTGTGCCCACGTCGAAACGCCCAGGGCATGATTTGTAATAAACGTTTACCGTCCAGCTGCCCACCCAGAGGGACATGTGACCTCACAGAGGCACACAGCTGATTGCACTGATGTGAACCACCAGCCAGCCGAGTCTTCGGGGACCTGCCCCAGAAACACACCACCTTGGGGGGGACAGCGGGCTGGGCACAGCGCTGACGGGAGAGGACAGGGCCGCAGGCACCGGAGCGCGCAGCCGAAGCGCTGTCCGCCAAGTGCCGCAGGCTGAGCAGAGCTAGTGCACTTGAGATGCGGCCCCAAGCAGCTAAGCAGGCCTCTGGATGGGCGGTGGCCCCTGCCCGCAACCCCCGTGGAAAGCTAGCGCCCCTGCACAGGGGGCTCCGTGTGGCTTCCTGAGCGGCCTCCCTGTCTGGCTCCGCTCGCAGCGGCAGCTTGGGGGCCCACACCGGGGTCTGGAGCGCGTTTCCGCACCACCGAGGAGGACAGCGCCTGACACCCCGCAGCCAGCCACACTGGGGCCTGGGCGGGCGGAGCGCCGGTCGGTGCTATGGTGAGCGCAGCCAGGCTGCCTCCGGACGGACACCCCACAGTCTGAAGTTAGGGTCACAGTCACCTGGAACTAGAGAACCGTCCCTTCCCTTCCTGGGGGTAGGCAGAGCGGGCCGGGACTGAGAGGCACAGGGCGCGCGGCTAGCAGCGTGCACTCAGACACATGTGCAGTCCCGCACCGGCTGTCGGGGTGGAGGCACCTCGGGGAGCCCCCGCAGGGGCAGCAGTGAGCGCTCACCAGCCGCAGTGTGGGGTAAAGGCGCTGGGCCACCAGCGTCAGGTCCCTGAGGAGGGTGATGAAGGCGCACAGGCAGTTCCACAGAATCTTCCGCGCCGCCTGGTTGAAGAGCTGCAGCTCCTCCACGAGCTGGGCGTTGAGGGCCTCGTACTCCTTCTTGGCCAGGTCCGACTCGGCACCTGCCGCCCGCTGCAGGTAGCCGTTGTAGTCCAGCAGCTTGTCGTAGCGCTTCTGGATGAGCTTCTGGGGCCCCGGGAAGAGGGACAGCAAGGCAGACAGGGGCGTCAGCACCAGTCTCTGCAGATGAGCCGCCTGCAAGGGGAAAGCACCCATCAGGGAGAGAGGCGACCAGGCCACAGTCTGCACCGTCAGCAGTGGGCCCCCAGCAGCTCAGGGGCACGGGGCAGTACCGGGAAGTACCCTCAAGATAAGAGAGGATGTGGCCACGGTTCTGTCTTGCTAAGCCTGTGCAGGACTTGAGACAGCCACTACACAAATGTTAACCTTGAGCCTGAATCGTGAGCCACAGGAAGAACGTGAAAGTTAAGCCCTGCACTCCCAAGATGTGCCCCGCCGGTCCCCGCAACATCCGTCCCTGGGGTCATCTCCAGCACTCCCTCCTGCCCCTCCTCCAGTCCTAGCGCTATGCCGTCACAGGCTGCCTCTGCCACCAAGACTACGCGAGTGATGCACCGTGCACGCCTGCCTCTGCTGGCAACAAACGGGTGGCCCGTTAGAAGGCCATGCCCTTCCACCCGCGGGGGCCCCAGCCCCGGCTCCCCCGTGCTGCTCTTTGGGAGTGGAGTTGCATGCCTGCGCAGAGAGAAACACTATTTTGCTCCTGTGGTAAAAGGGTCACGACTATTGCATCCTCTTTAAACACACTGGAGGTAACAGTGGCTTAACCTCCCATTCAATGTCTCCTCAATAAAGGAAGACATAAATACGCTGAAGGATCGAGCTGTCAGCGTTGGTGTTTGGGTCCAACCACCGAAGATGAGCTTAGCCTTACTGCCCCAGCCCAGGCTGGCCTGCAGCACCCTAGACTTCACTCCTCCTACTTCTCCTCCTCCCCTTCTGCTCCGAAGGGCGCTGCCACTGAAGGTGGCTGGCCGTCCAACTTCAGCCTTGATCTCCTGCGCGTAGGTTACATGGCTGCGTTAATGCAAAGGTGCTCCCCGAATGTCCTGGGGAGTCAGCATCTGAGCAGCAGCTTGTGTTAATTAACTTAAATGGTATCTGGAAGCTTTGTCTGAACTCAGGGGAAATCTAGGAGAGAGGGAAAACCAATCTCCTATTGGCACCAGCAATTGCAAGGCAGATTAAATTTGATGTCTTGCTTCCACGATAATCAATAGGCACCCGCCGGCTGTTTGATGTGGCCTCTGAGTAAGCAAAGATTCTGTCGACTGCTCTGGGCTGAACTGTTGTGTTTGCGACTTGACCAGATTCTATAGGTAAGCGGACAACAATATAAAATTATTACTATATACATGTGTCTGTGTGTGTATTAATGTATGTATGTACACACACACGTTCCGGGGCCCATAGATGTGAACTGATTCAGCTGTACACGGGGGTGATGTCAGACAGATTTTAATATTTTGTCCCCAATACAATATACAGACAAGAATCTCTCAGGCTTAAGGTAAAAACAACTGCTCTGTCTTCGAGCTCTTAATAATTGATTTTTTAAAGAGTTCAGTATACTTTATCCATAAAGTTACTTTTACACTGAGCTTTCTGACAATTATTTTAATTTAACGTAATTCATCATCTTACAGTTTTATGCAAGGTAGGGAGAGACTTCTTCAGTCTACTTTCTGTCAAAGCCCAGGGCACGCAGATGAAGGGACGTCATACACCATGCTGTTTCATGGTGCTCTGTGAGAACCTGTCAACCTAACGAGTGAGCTGGGAGAGCAGCCCTTTTCCAAACCTTTGCTAAAGTGTGCTGCTACAGCCACGCCTGGCCAGCGTTTCCATTTGACATGCCATGACGCTTCTATCCTCCACCCACCTGCCTTCCTCTTGACCATCAAACCACCCGCCCGCCCGCCACTCATGCCCAACTGCCCTCCACTAGGGCAGCCTCTGTCATCTCCCACTCAGCATCACGAGAGCATCTATCCTCCCACCTGTCCTCCAATGTATGTGTGCGCATGCACGTCCCCGACGGCTTTTCTATCTTCAGTGACATTCCTTTGCCCAGTGCCAGGAAAGCAAGACTCCTGCTGTTTTTCCATCAGCAGGGTGGGAGCTGTCACCACATGCCATGTGACTTGAGGTGGGGAATGTTACTGCCATTTCGAACCTGATCAGTCAGTAATGCCAAACATCTCCCAACAAGGCCTCTCAGTGAAGATCTGTCTCACCCAAATGCTAATGTGCCAACCCGAAAATGCCACTCCCAAAGCCCTTCAAAGATGATGGAGTCTATTTTATCTTCCACACACTATCGGAAATACTACTGTAAGAACACCTACGGGGCACTCCTCAGGCCAGCCTGCCACCCAAATTGGCTCGAGAATGTCTGAAAGGTCCCCAAGCTGTATTTCACCGAACTCTTAGAAAATAAGTACCACAAAACAGAAGCAATCCATGGCCTCAGGTAAAAGCCCTTTCTCTGTAGGAAGGCTTTACTTCACAGAGCAGAATTTCACTGCTAGTAAAGTCATGTCCTCAGCCCCTCCTCACCCTGTAATTTCCACAGAATCCTTTATGAAATCTGCAGTTTCCTCACTTCATAAATCCTTGATATAGCACATGCAGACTTAAACTAAATTTTTATTTTAAAAGCTCTATCAGCACTGGCTTCCCCTAGAAACACAATCTGAGGTCCTATTAAATTTGGATTATAGTCAGATCTTCACTTACCAGTTTAAAATATTTAATGATAAAAGCAGTCTTGCTTAAATCTGCCGATGTTGACATGAGTATTTGCTTTAGTGCTTGCTATATTTCTAATTCAAAAAAAACAAACAAAAAAGATAACCAGATAGCAGCTTTCTGTTAACTTGCACTTGTCTGTGAATAGAGGTAACTTACAAAGTTGTCGCAGGGATTTGGGGCACTCCTGGGGGACTCGGGACAGCCCCTCTCCGCCTCATCTTTGCTGTACGAGATCTCGTGGAGCCCCATCGCACTCTGCAGGGCTAAGGGCATGGCTTCCTGAAACCCAAGCACAACGTTACCCAGCGGGCCAAAGTCAGTGCAGCTACCCTGCCTCATTGTGGGCTCTGTCCTCCAGCCTCCACGACCACGACCACTGAGAGTCCAAAAGAAAAGAAAGAGAAGAAAAACTTTCCCGGCAACTCTGTATAACCAGGCTACCTGTGACAATCTATTTCCTCCCTACCCCTGTGTGGTGTTCTCACACTGCTCTCTGTGACCCTCTTTTCTGGAGCCCATCTTTGAGTCCATCATTGGCTGTTCTTCAGCATTCACTGCCTACAGATCCCTTATTATAGAAAGCCACTCCCGGGCCCTCCCTGGTAGCGCAGTGTGTCAGAGCGCAGCACTGCAAGCCAGCTGCATGCTTCAGTGCAAGATCCATCCCCGGACAGGGAGGGTCTGACCCCCCAGGGCGGGGCAGGCCTCTCCTGACCCGCCCGCTGCTCCCCTCAGCAGTGCACTTTGTCAGTCTACCTGTTCTGCTCCGCACTCTGTCTCTGGTGAAGCCTCTCACGGCCCCTGCACCTCTGGCATGTACCCCAGCTCTGTGTGCATAAATAAATCAATCTTTAAGGGAAAAAAAGCCAGTCCTCTTTGATTCAAGTCCTCAGTGTGCCTTTGTGAACTTCCTGCTGTCTTTAAGAGAAGATATGCACATGTGGGTTGAATCAATCAGTGGTTATGGAAGACTCCCCCTAGAGCTTCCCAAGGGCATTTGGGAATGCCCTTGAAATGTCCATCAAGGTCAGGGTTGCCAGGGCCCTCTGGCTGTTGACCTTTGTTTTGGTTTCCTTTTCACAAAGGTGGGCTTCGGGATGAGATTAGCAAACCTGATTGTAAGATCTGACTGCAGATTTCACAAATAAAGTAAGAATATGGCTGGTTGGCCACACAGTGTAGAATCTTATCTCCAAATGACTGTCAGCTTGGTTCTCAGCCGGTAGGAGATTTCATCTGGGTGGGCAAACTTGTGCTTCCACAAACAGACATTGAAGAGAAAGACTGGCCAACGGGGAGGGAAGGGGCATTTATTAGCAGAATGACATGCCATTCCTCCAGCTTTCCGTGTCTTACCATCAAGACTAGGTCAGGATGTAATCAAAGACGCTATGTCCTCTTTGGAGGGTCTGTGAGAAAAATCCTGACCGCGCTTTCTGCTGAAGATAATTACTCATACTCCACTTGGTGTCTGAGTCAGCAACTGTCCACTGGGCCGGGGCCGAAGAGCCCCCGGGACATGGGGATTTAGGGGGGTGCTGTCTTCTACTTCTGCTTCTACATGGGGCCTCTGCATATTGGAATTCATCCCATTTGTTAAAATTTATGTACTTCTATACTAATTCTCTTTTAAAGAGAGGGTTGAACCACCTATGCGTCTCAGTCGGAACTATAAAGGGGCATCACAGGACACTGCCCGTCAGATAAGTAGAAGTGCTCAGTTGTTTTGGAATTATGTGTTGCGTGGTCTTTGGGGGTCAACTGCCAGGCAGCCGACGGCTCAATTCGAGGCCCACGTGTGCTTTTGGTTTGTGGGCTTTATGGTACACATTCTTTACTACCACTCTAATTTCATTTTATCTCTTCCCTCTTTGATTGTCCTTTTTCTTCCAGACCTATTCTTATATATTAGCATCATCAAACAAATAAACAAGGAAAACGGGTCCCTTTCCTGGAGCTCTGCCTTGAGGCTCTCTTCTCCCAGTAAACCAAACACTCCCTGCATAAGTCCCACAAGGACATAGAGTGGGCAATAAGGGGACCAGAATTGGGCGGAGCCCCAAGACTTTGCACTGCCTTCTGCCCCCACAGCTTACCCCCTCCCAAATCTGATACAGCAGGTGTCAACAGCTACACTTCCCAACAGCCACGGACAGCCGCACCTTCCTGTGGGAACTGTGGCCACGGCACCCTGGCCTACCTGCATGTGCTGGAGACAGAATGCAGTGCTCTTTACACAGTGCCTTACGGTCTTTTCCAAGGACCGGAATAGCTTCTCTTCTCGATTAAAGGTACTGTCTTTCACCTAAGATAGATAGGAAATTGTTTTTAGAACTCATACTGTCTTTTTAAATAGCATGAACCATATTACGCCCCACCTGACAGACTCCTTCCTGAGTCGACTCCTTTGTGACCTGCTGGCGGCCTCCACTGGAACCGCGTCCGCGCACAGCAAACCCAGATCTAAGCCCGGGAAGCCGCACCGGCCCAGGACAGATACCTGCTTCCGTCCTCACACACCCCACCTGTGTCGTGTGGGTGTAGGACATTAAGCTTTCCTGTGCGGCGTACAGCAGCAGGCAGTGTGTATATTCTCAAATCATACGACCTCGTGTGTTTAGGCAAGAATACAAATAAAATAAAAATTTAACCTACCAACTGGAATTTATCCCTTTGCTGATGTGATGCTTGCCAATTTGTTTCTTAGTGGTTATATAGAAAACAGTCTTTGTTTCGTGCCTAAAGAAATGCGATGACTCTTCAGCAACGCCACTTGGAAGGACGGCACGGAAACTGGGCCAAGTCCGTCCTCTGGCGGGACACTGCAGTCAGCAGAGGGGCCCCCGCTGCCGCTGGTTTTTGCTAGCACACACGTGTACCTCTACAGCCAGGGAGGGGCGTTCTCGATGCTGTGGCGACTTCTGGGAGCACACACTTATCACGTTAGTGCTGAGTGGGATTTCTCGGCCATGGAAATGGTTAACAAAGGAGACGGCTCTGGCCGCCTGCTGGCCACATCCATGAGAGAGGCAACAGCTCCGCGGAACGCGAGCTCGCTGCACACCGGGCTGGCCACCGGCTCCTATGCGCGCGTCAGGTGCTTGCTCGTTCAGAGCCTTAGACCACGGCACGGGAAACAGCGATTTCTCAAAAACCCTTCACATTGTCTATGTAAAACATTCTGATTCAACTGGAGCCCCGTTGGTCTTAGGGGCTTTGTGCACTAACTTGATGTGATATGAAACGAAGACTGGAGCAGGTTTTTTAAAATGCAGTTATCGGGCCCTCCCTGGTGGTGCAGCGGGTTAAAGCGCAGCACTGCAAGCTGGCCGCAGACGCTTCAGTGCAAGTTCGATCCCCGCCCCGGAGGTGACCACAGGGCGCGGCAGACCTCTCCTGACCCGCCCACTGCTCCCCTCGGCAGTGGACTTCATCCATCGACTGGTTCTGCTCCCCACCCTGTCTCTGGTGACTCCTCTCACCCCCTGCACCTCTGGCCTGAACCCCAGTTCTGTATGCATAAGTAAATAAATCTTTAAAAAATAAAATAAAATGCAGTATCCTAGGAACCCCTCGCCTGACACTCAGGTGGGTCCCTCGTGGGAGATGCCGGGCCTAGCTATAGCCTTCCTTGCTCCAGCTTCTTGTCCTGGGTACGCCACTGTCCTTTTCAGCCTTGCGAAAGTCTTGTTTCTTTTTGAGGGTTCGCTCAAACGTTACCCATCCTGTGAATCCATCCTCTAGTTCCTTTTCGATGCTCTGTGTGAAATTAATTGCCTGTCCTGTGAGCTCTCACAACATTAGTTAATTATTTAAGCGATTCTTTCCACTGATGGATTGTAAGCATCTGAGAATTAAGTAATTTTATCTTAATCATCATCACAGCTAACATTTATTAGGCACGAACTGTTGCGGACACTGTGCTAAACCTGTCTCGCAGTTTCTCACTTAGATTCTGATCCAGCTCTACCAGGTAAGTGCTGGGGTGAGGTACACTTTTGGGAGGTGTGGCAGAGAGGAATACCCGCTGGCATCCTTTCCTTGGGGGACTCGGCCCTGGCCTGTTACCTGGACACCTGGCTGCCCTTGGGATCCCCTGTCCTAAGCCCCTGTGGGGTGGGCTCTGCTTGTGGCACTGGGTTTAGGTATCAGGATGTGAATGCAAGTGCTGCTTCGTTGCTGAGTCCTGGCGAGACGGGCGATGTGGGAAACCTCCGGTCATTCAGCGCGATGGTGCCCTTGAGCCCGGAATGAAGTCACGGTGGTGACCCCGCTTCAACAAGGCAGAAGCAACCAAGTGTCTGGGGAACCACACACTGGAGAAGAGCGCTTCTGAGGAACTGGGAAGTGGAGGCAGGCTGGACGCCATCTCAGGGCCATGGCGAGGGAATGAACACTCCTGGAGGCAAGCCGCTGTTGTGCCATTTTTTTGTGACAGAAGCTTCTCCTTCATCAGAGGGACCAGAACTCAAGTGGTCTGAAGCCCACACTTGTGCACCTTCGTATCCCTGACCCTAACGGAGCCAGGTACGTGAGGCCTCACCCCAGCTGTGGAGGGATGGAATGGGACCGTCTCCAAGTAACAGTTTCGGGCCCTAACTCCAACACATTCTTCACCTGAGCTGCTGACAAGTGCAAAATGGAGTGACTAGAGATTTATCTCTCCTGCAGTCCAGCCTATGCAGCCGATTTTTTGATGAACAGTGAAATGCCTCATTGCTGACAGTACATCCTCTCAAAAGATGAAGGAGGGAAAGCTAATTAATATCCCTTTGGGGTACTTTAACTACAATTCACATATTTAGTTTGCCAATTGAAAAAAATATCAGAAATGGATGATAAATACGTGAAAGAAGGTAGCAGTGTCTACAAAAGCCTGCTCGGAATGAAGACCTGCCTCAGCAGAAGTGAGTCGGAAGAAACTTGCCTCCACACACCCCTATGGAGACTGCAGACGCTCAAGTGAGTCACTCCCATTTCATGTGACTACGGTGGTCTTCAGCTGAAATGCCTTGGTTTTCCTCTCTCTGAGCCAGGCCGCACACCACCAAGGTCCCACACCCCCACCTTATGGGTCCCCATGGGGACAGTGAGCACTGTGTGACCTCTCCATGGAGACAGGCGCGGTGAGCCTACAGAGAGAGTGCATGCCACAGACAAGCGTCCTGGGAGGTCCGGGCAGGAAGAGAGACGCAGCACAGCCACAGAGGCGACAGGATGAAGGCGGGAGGGCAGTTTACCTACAGGGCCCAGAGAAAGGGTCCCTGGGCCACGGAGGCCTGCAGGGCAACACCAGGTTCCTACTGGGCGGCAGAAAGGAGGAGAGGACATCCAACCAGAGCCCTTTATGGAGTAGCCATGGGACGCCCCCACAGAACTGCCTAAGACTGGCCAGTTTGACATCCCACACACCTGCGAGAATGGTCCATATCAAAGCGACGGGAAGCAGCGAGTGCTGCTGCGTACGTGGAGGAAGGGACCGCAGTGCGCTGTGAGAGGGAACTGAGGACGTGGAGGAAAAGGCCGCCCTGCACTGTTAGAGGGAATGGAACGTCATGCAGCGGTAACTCATCCTCTGTGAAGTGGCATGCAGATGCCTCCAAGAATCAAAATGGAAATCCCACTGATCCAGCAGTACCACTGCTAGGTATTTACCTAAAGACTGTGAAAACGCTATTTGGAAAAAACTTACACACGTGTATCTTGACAGCAGCATTATTCACAACAGCCAAGTCATGGACCCAACCTAAATGCCCATCAACGAAAGACTAGGTAAAGCCGTCTTGGGATATATACACCATGGAATACTACTCAGCTGTGGAAAAGATGAACTGGTGCCTCTGGGGCAAAATGGATGCGTCCTGAGGTGATGATGCTGAGCGACCTAAGCCAAAAAGGGAAAGACACTGACCTATGGCCTTATCAGCCGTGGGATAAAACACCAATCAAGCGAGTGGCAAGACACAGCAGAAAGAATTCTCTGACTGTGAAAAATACAGTTGCTACCAGCAGGGATGGAGAAGGGAAGAGGTGACACAGCAGGAGGGGTGATGAAGGGCGTATGAATCGTGTGCACAGGTGGAGGGCGAAGTTGTCCTCCCAAAATTATTCAGTTGAGTCAATTTTGGGCAAATCCATAAAAACTGAAGAGGAAAGAAAGACCGACCAGTTTGAATGATTCCAGCTGGCTCTGGGCTATAGAGGTGGTCACCAGCTGACAGGGACCTGGCCCTGGGATGGCTCAGAGCAGGGGACACTGCACGGGTGGTTAGGGGCAAATGGGGCAAAAACTCGCAACAGACTGGTTTCCATCTGAATGAAATGGTCCCAGTTGACCACTTTGCAATCTCTAAGAAAAGACTAGACCTGAGAGGCGATCTCGTCTCAGCCAGCAAGATCTTTAAAGATGCTGAAAAAGTATCAAATACAGAAAATGAAAACCATAATTAACATACCATGCATGATGGAGTTTATAGCCACAGGGAAACAAGAAATGAGCCTGTAACGGGGAGGTTCAATGCAAGGCAATGATGTGAAAGATGGCGGCGCCACTACACACTGGGGGTGTCCCCTGTGTACACGCCATCTGGGATGGACAGACCTGGAGCCTACCTCTTAGCAAGCGCCTCAGGAAATCTCTACACACATGGAAGTCCGAAAGCCTTTCAAAGCACCCATGAAAATTTACGGGGCGGCTGAAGAGCTGATACAGGACAACGAGCCAAGAGTAAATGCACACTTGGGGGTGTGGAGAAAGGTGGGGAGCTAATTTAGTGAAATGAAGAGAAGATGCATGTCAGGGGAACCTAAATGAAATAGAAGATTTAAAAGCCGAATTTGAACAGGAGTGGAAGGAGGACAACCCCTTGGGTGGGCGACACATGGGCCGGAGTGAGCGCAGAGGGCCGGGTCTGTCCTTCCTGAGCTGTGTCTATGGCCTTGGCTCTCCCGCTGCCTGAGTAGCAGACCCAGGCGTGCTTCAATACCTCCTCACACCATCCCCCCATCCCGAGACAAAGAAGGGGTGCACACAGCTGTGGTAACAACAGGGGAGAATCGCACAAAGATGGCTGCGGCAGTCATGGAGCCAGAGGAGCAAGAGGACGGATTACCTGTGAGTCGCCTCTGGTCAGGATCTTTAGGTGATTTGTCACTCTTTTTGATTTCTTGCTAATTGAATGAATATTCAGTTTAGACAGTTTGTCTTTGAGTGATTCATCCTCATCGTTCTTCTTGTATTTTAGAACTGAAACAGAAGAACGCAACAGATGTCTGAACACTTAGGAAGTGGGTCACATCTGAAGCCTTCATGAGACCAATATTCGTACGTAAGCAAAAATCTGTAAGACTTTTAGCTTGTGTGCAGACACAGTTGCCCAAGCCACAGCCCAGTCGGACCCCAGCCCCCCAGCCCAAGGGGGTCACAGTGAAGCAGGACTTGAGCTCCTTCCATGTGGCAGAGGGACTGAGAGGGGAGTCCTCCTTTCTCTCTGCTAATACACTTGCATCTGCAGTCTCAGGAATGAAGCATCAGCACCCAACTGATAGAAAGACAGCTGCACCCAACGTAAGAGACCTCAGCTCCTTAGTGTCTTCCATTAGCTGAGGGCTCTGGGGCAAGTTGAGTCCCTGAACTTTCCTTATTTACCTTGAAAATCATTTCCACCTCTTGTACTGTCAAAATGCTGACTATCCCTAATACTGAGCATTGGTAAGGGCACGGAGAGATGGGCAATCTTCATGCACTGTTGTCGAGGATTAAACCACGGCAGTTTTTGTAAAGAATACCTCGGTAGAATCTTACAACAGTGAAGGCTTTCAGTCTACCATCAGGAAGTCCAAGCAGAGAAACCAGCTTTCCGAAATCACGCACACAAGGACCTGCTTTCTAGTAGCAAGAATGCTGGGAGTGGCCTAAATCTTCATCCGTACAGGAACAGCTCAGAAAAGGTGTACTGTGCAACCATGACCAAGGTCATTCACTGGAAGAAAGTTCACGATATACAATACAATATTCTAAAACCCCAGTAAATAGTAGTACCAAACATGCTGCAAGAAGGAAGGAATTAGAAAATCCACAGAGTGGTCGCCCAAAGCCCCACCATCTATCTACGGCTGCACTGCGAGGTGATGTGAGAAACACAAGCTGCAGCACCTGTGTGCGTAACGCACACTCAGGAGGAATCTGGTCTACCCCAGTGTCTTGGAATAGCCAGACCCCGGGGATGGCGCTTCCTGTTTTGAAATCCACATTCTACTTTGGATGCTTATTTTACTTCTTCCCTAGCTGGCGGTGAAGAGTGATCTGTAACTCTAGAAAGACAGACATATACTTGCTCTGCTCAGTACAGCCAGTATCACCCAAGCACCCCCAGGTGTGTGAGCTGCCAGACCCCACTGTTCCTCGCCAGCTTCCCCTGTGAGGCAAGGCCCCAGTTCCCCTAGTCCACAGAATGGCACTTGTGTGCAGGGCTGCAGAGGCTGAAGATGAGGCTATTGGGTGAAGACCAGTCAGTTCTCTTCTCCTGAAGCCCCTTGGCCAACCGCATCCTCCCCCAGGCCCTAAACACTGACGGCCACTACCCCTGTGTTCCTACCACTGCCCAACATGCCGCTTGTGGGAAACCCAGGTCACAGTGCACGCAGAGGCCCCGCTGCGCCCTTCTTACCGAGGTCCTTGCGTCTTTTCAGCTCGTTGATGTTGACGTTAATGTCCCTCACTGCCTCGAAGGCGTCCTCCAGGGCCCTGAAGTCGGGGTGCGAAGCGGGGGTGGCATTGCGCAGCTCGCACAGCAACAGGGGATATTTCATCACACGCTGGATGGGCTTGATCATCAGAGACCCCATGTCCAGTAAGTTTGGTTTGCTTCTACAGCACAGGTAAGTCAGGTCAGTTTCACGAGCTACCATCTTGTGAACGTTTCATTTTTGTGACTTTTATGATTAAGCCTGAGACGGTTCTTTCTATTACTCTTCCCCATTTGGCCAGATGCAAGTTCTCAATGAGAGGAGGAGCAGTGCAGGGCAGAAGGAAGCTCAGCTGAGAGCTTCCACTTCTAAACCAAAGCCTCTAAGAAAAAAAAAGGACAGGTCTGTCCACCTGTCCACCAAAAATGATGGCAGGAGCTCCATCCATCCATGTTCTCTGCCATGTGTTTCTTTTTTTAATGTATATATGTACAAGATTTATAGTAATAGAGGGAATCAATTTCAGGATGTGTTTTGCCATGACAACCACAAAGAAGACATGTGTCTGGTGTTGTATTTGTGGTTATTAGTGAAGGAAATAAGCTCATCATTTAGAAATCTAAAAAGATGATGCATAAAGAGAGCTTCAGCTTCTCTCTTCTGCCAAATTGAGAATTTTTCATGTTAGAGGTTCTGGGAGCCTTTCCGAGAGACAGTAAACATGATGATTGTCTAGTTATTATCAGGCCGTCACTGTCCCTCACCACTGCTATCCCACAGCGACTTTCCAGGTGTGAGTCTCCTGAGCCAACACAGCCTCTGGCGGCCCCTCTACAGAGTATCACCAGCTAGCTCTCCCCTTATACACATCTGCCATGAGGCCAGAGCATCCCTGCTGCCACTCGTGTTACAGGGGGTGAAAAACTACAGGCATGGCCAGGTCACTGTCCAGCCCGCTGTCATCCTTTTACAGCCAAAGGCAGAGATTTGTGAATGTCTACACAGAGACAGATTTACAGACAGTGTCAACGAAACGGGAGGCAAGTGCTTTCAGGTGCTTTTGGTGGGCAGCTACGTAGAGTCACTTGTTTTCCTACAGATAGCTAAAACACACAACCACTGTTTTCCGACACGATAGGGAGTCTTCACCCTTAAATGGTGGCTCTGCAGGGGCTCATGTGGAATGAGCACCAGCATGCAGCATTAGAACCGTGACACGGAGCTAAGACGATGAACAAAAGTAGAAAAGATGCATCATCAGAAGAGCCTGGAGGTGCCTTAAATGAGCATCTGGTGGAACCTTCGTTTGAGGAATGGGCAAACACGGAACTGATCATTGCGTGCGCATACACGTGAACATGCACACACACTCACACACTCACCCATCACTTTGTCTCATCTCCGTGTTTTGTTTCCAGTCAGCACGGCATGGGATCACCTTGCTTCTCTAGTTAGCAGTCCCTTCCAGTCACCACTCTACCCCCACCGTGTCATTCTCTCACTGAATATTTACAGACCAAAATGACAGGTTTCTCAGATTTTCTCTAATGTGCTTTTTATTTTAGAGTGAACTCTACTTTCCCCCAAGCTGGACAACAGTCCTGAAAAAGTGGCAGAGAATGATGCCACAACAGCGAGAAAGACTGAAGCAAACCAAAGGCAACTTTTTAAAAAGGAAAACCAAAGTAAGGTTAAAGGTTTGCAAGGGAATAGATAGTTGCCTTATTATTATTTGACTTAAACGTCCTACCCATTTGCACCAAATCTAATAAGGGGTGGGAGGGAAGGGTACAGCAATGTTATTGATTTCCAAGAGGACTGGATGAAGTGCATGGTGGATTCTGACTGACCATGGGTGATGCCTCAACAGACGAGGAGCATAAGAGAGAACACCCAGATGTAAATACGAGGGTAGGTGGAGACTAAGTGGAAAAATGAAAAGCTCTTATCAGCTGTGGCTATCAGCTAGCCATGCAAAAAAATCATTACAATGGATCCCTGAATCATTTTTGACACCAAAATAAGGATTCTTGTAAAAAGATGACTGGAAACATTATGCTATACATTTGCAAAGAACTATAACTGTACTTGGGTACAGTCTAAGTAATAATAATTTAAAATATAAGAGCATCTTGGACAAATTGGAAATAAATATCAAAATCTAATACATCAGGAATGTCTAGGGTAAATGCATTTGAAATTGTGCTTAAAGCAATGAATATATTTGAAAAAACCAGTAATTCTGACGTGGACAGGAATATTCACAGTTTTTCTCTGTGATTTTTACATTTGATTTCTATTATTAAAAAAAAAGATACTTACTCTTGCATGTATATTTTCCTGTCAGAAAGGGGGGAAGAAAAAATAAAATTAATTCAGGTAAATCCGTACATTTGAGGTATTATGCAAACATTCTAAAATTGTTAAAGGCCTATCGAATCTGTTACATTATTTCAGAATCACACCACTGAAAATTTCTTTCAGGGTATGGACACCATTATTGTCTCAAAGTTTATATAAGGCTAAAAACTTGATTTAGATGATAGTAAATTTGGGTCCTGTGAGAAGGGTCTAAATTTCAAGTGTTGTTTACACTGTGAAAAAACAAAGTTGCCACAGGAGAAAATAAGGTCACGTGGAAGCTGGAGCTGACCTGCAGAACCCCCATTCCCTCACTTCACTGAGGGCCTCCCGCCCCCTAAGCGCCCCAGCCTCAGCCCTGCTGGCCTTCCCGCCAGCACCCTTCAAGGCACCCTGGGGCTCGCGGCCATGCCCTGCCCAGGTCTTGCTCAAAGGTCCCTTCCCAGGGAGGCCTCTCCTGAGCCACTTTTAAAATTCTGCCTGGTGCCCTCTTAACTCTGCTTTCTTTTTCTCCCCAGAACTTTCTGGCACTTTCTAATACACTAGATAACTTGGCATGTATGTCTGCTATGCTGCTAGTCATTGTCCCTCTGCAGCCCAGCAGGGTGAGGCTGCACATATTCTCTGCTCCGCACCGGGGGCCCTTTCCCAAAGAAGTGAGAGGCGCACAGTAGGGTGCAAACCTGTTCACTAACCAAAAAGCAAGGCAATTATTCAGGCTCAATTTAAGGTGTAAAGAATATGAAAGTTTTTCTCTTAAAAGCCTCACCTGGCTGCAGAGAAATACAATAATCTGTGTCTATAACCTGCTGATTGTCCCTGGTTTCCAATCTTTTTGGGCACACTGTTTTCAACATAAAAATTGCGTGACCCGAGCCCTCCCTGGTGGCGCAGTGGGTTAAAGCACAGCACTGAGAAGCTAAAGCCGCTTCCACATGAGTTCGATCCCTGCCCGCCCCGGAGGTGACCACATGGCGCGGCAGACCTCTCCTGTCCCGCCCGCTGCTCCCCTCAGCAGTGTACTTCGTAGATCTGCCTGTTCTGCTCCCCACTCTGTCTCTGGTGAAGCCTCTCGCCGCCCCTGAGGCTCTGGCCTGTACCCCAGTTCTGTATGCACAAATAAATAAATCTTAAAAAAAAAAATTGCGTGACCCCCTCCTTCCCATAGTAGATTATTGCCATTCAATGATTGAGAGTAAATTTAATGACACATGCTTATGCTGAATCTCATACATTTCAATGAACTAAGTTTTAAAAGTGAATCCCAGGCCCTCCCTGGTGATGCAGCGGGCTAAAGCGTGGCACTATGGAGCTACTGCAGCCACTGCAGCACGAGTTCTATCCCCGGCCAGGGAGTGACCCACAGGGCGCAGCAGACCTCTCCTGACCCACTGCTGCTCGCCTCAGCAGTGTGTTTCAGTCCACCTGCTTGTTCTGCTCCCCACTCTGTCTCTGGTGAATCCTCTTAACTCCCTACACCTCTGGCCTGCACCTCAGTTCTGTGCACATAAATGAATCTTTAAAAAAAAAGTGAATCCCGATATAAGTAGGAATTGGTTGTATAAGTGTGTGTGTGAAGTATGTGTTTCTTCAATCTTCAGACCTGTTAAATACAGAAACTAGGAAATGCTGACTCTAAGGCCTTCTACTCAGGAATCAAGCTCTGAGTTATGATTCGTAAAAATTCAGTAGCTGCCAAAATTTCGGGCAATTATTACCAGGTGACTGAAGAACTCTGCTACAATAGTAAAATAAACTACAAACAACTGTCCCCTGCCTAATAGTTCCTCCCACTCATTTATTTAAAGCTCATTTAAGGACTTAGGGTTTGCCTTCATTGCTGCTCTCATCTACTGAGAGATTTCATGTTCCAAAAGATAACAGATCAGAAAATTTGAGGGAGAAGATGAATAAAAATGAAATATCCTCTGGAAGCAACAAGGAAACAGTGTCATCATTTGGGAATCAAAGCACATGCTTTGTAGTCAGAAGAAAAGTTCATTCACTCCAAAGAAGACAATGGAAGTTTTTCCTTTTTATTTTTCTTCTTCAACCAAATAAAATCTAAACCTTTTAACATAAATGAGATACCATTTTAAATATAAATATAAATAACATCATGTAGAGAGGAACCTAGAGACCGTTGGTAGTTTCAGGAGGATGGCACTATCTGTAACCTCAACCTTGTCCTTGTTCACCATTAAAAAAAAAAAATCTCCCTCTAAAAGGAACTCTCCCACACTGCTGGTGGGAATGCAAACTAGTACAACGACTATGGAAAACTGTTTGGAGGTTCCCCAAGCTACTTAACATGGAGCTTCTCTATGACCCAGCAATCCCACTCCTATGTATCTACCCAAAAGACACAAAACCACTGATTGAAAAACACACCTGCAACCCCATGTTTATTGCTGCTTTATTTATAATTGGAAAAACATGGAAGCAGCCCAAATGCCCAAAAGTGGATGACTGGATTAAA